TATTAAAACATATTGTCATAATGTAATCACAATATGTTGATAATCATTATAACTGTTATCAAAATCATTATAATAACTATAATATGGTGATAATATATTTTGATTATGGTGATTATTAAAATATACACAGTGTAATGATATAATCAGTACACTAATCAAAACTGTGCTATTATATAGTTATAATGTATAATTATCAAAATATTATTATATTGATAATCAAAATTATATTTTGATTATCATTTTGATATAATAGTATCAAAATGATTATTATGATATTATTATGTAATCATAATAATATACATACGACTTGGGCAAAACTATAACCATTACACTGTGTATTATCACAATTTTGATAATCATCAGGACTTGTTGTATGGTATGATCATATTACACTATTTTGTATGGTTATTATAACCCCAAACGTTTTGGGGTTATTACAATTTCTTTTTGTGATAGTACAACAATTACTATTATAATAACCAATACAAAATGGTTCCCCAAAATATTATGGTTTACCTAAAAGTCACTACTATTATAACCAAAATGGTTATCATAACTAGTAACCATAATTACTAGTTATTATGGTTATAATAACTAGTAACTCGCAGATTTGCAAGTTACTAGTTTATTACTTAAAGATTGATCTAAACCAAAATAAGCCAGCTATTAAAGTCGTAAAAGACAGTAAGCCTAATCCTGTGGAACCCCAATTCATGGTCGAGCACGTATGCACATAAGATAAGTTGCCAGTGCATTTATTCCATTGACTGTGAAACACGAAATAGATAACTGCATTATTGACTCAATGGTTGGCCTATTTAGGAGCAGATCTCAAACTTTAAGCAATGAAGCTAGTTCTTCTAGTTCTCATATCAGTAGTATTAAGAATACTGAAGAAATTGTTATTTCCAATATAGAAAAGTGTATGCAAAATTGGAATATTCCCAAGGTCCCAATTTGTAAAATATATAGAAATTGATCTTTTCATTTTAAAAGTGATTATGCCATAAAAACAGTTGAAAAAACCGTTTCCATCCTTGAATTACAGGATACATTTCTCTTCTATATAAAGACATATTAGAAGAATATAAAAAGAAAGGATACAACTATTTGCATATAGGATTAGTCCAAATTGTTGTTAAACCTTTAACTCGCACTGGACTAAATAATTTTGTCCTTCTTTGCTTGAGAGATATTAGACATAGAAACTTCTCTGATTCCTTACTAGGAAATGTTGAATTGAGCCTTTGTGAATGCCCAATTTACTTCAATTGCTATCCCAATTTTTTAGTTTCTTTAATTGATCCCAACCTTTTAAAGGTTTTAACCTTAAACCTTAAAACTCAAGAGTTTGATATGGAATTTGGCTCACAAAAACATTGTTATAATTTATCGTATCTGTTATAAGGTTATGAATACAATTTGCCTTGATTTGAAGAAAATGGACAAAAGGGGCCAAACTATATATTTTCAAACAAATCTTGAAAAATCAAATTTAATTGTTCCTAAGACTATAACCTGGAACCAAGTTAATCTATCATCACAATGGAATTTGCAAAATGAAACCCCTTCTAGGCCTGTACAAAATTCCAATGTCAATTCCATAATTGAATTCCCCAATGGGGAAGTCCAAATTCAATTCAATCCTCAAAAGAGTGCTAGAATTCATATAGCTTCACAAAGCCTTAGAATTTTTGTTCCACTTCATCTATTCCAAATAAGGAATATGAACATCAACATATCAATGCTATTCTACAGG